TAATCTGGATTCTTGCTCTAATGTCTGTGAATATCTTCTACTCAACCACAGGATCATCAGTATCTTCCCTCCCTGAACATCTGCCAGCAAAAAAGTGCATGAAAATGTCCAGATTGTGAAGAGTTTTCTGGGACAAGAGGAAAGGGAAAGCTAGAGATAAGGAAGGAAATTAGCAAAACTATGTAAGAAATAGAGGCTGGCAAATCTGTCAAACATCTGGGTCTTAATTAAGTAATTTTTCATCCCTGAAGTTCTTCTCTCTGTTACTTTAACCCTTTCTCTTCCATCTTCCTTCTTAAAAGTACATCTCTATTTTCAATAAAGTCCACGTCTACCCAGCTAAAATAAAACCTGTCCTATTTGGAAACAACAGAATAAATCTTTCCCATCTTTCCCAAAGATTGTTGTGACATGTAATTATATAGAACATGTTTGTGCAGACACATGTATATATACGTATATACAATACATGGCTATTTTTCTCTAGAGTTTTTCTCTTTCCTTCCTGTCTTGCCTTCCACGCAGTATTATGTTTTCTCTTCCTGTGACCAGTTACATCATTAAATCCCTTCCAGCTCCTAAGTTCTCTTTCAGTCCTGCCTTTCCTAAGTGGAATATAAAACCTTGTAACATTTGAATTTGAATGGACTTAAAATTAAGCTGAACAAATTCATTCGCCTCTACCCTTTCAATAGCTTTTGTTTTAAACTCAGTCATCAAAAAACTAAAAGTTTTATAACAAACTGCAAGCACTTTTCAGGTTGCTAACAAGAAAGACCCTTTTCTTTCTCCTCACAATAGCTTCGGCTACCAGAATCAGAGCCAAATGTAACAAATTCTCTCAATAAAAAGAGAGAAAATAAGATTCTGCCCAACTATATCAAGAACATTAACTGATTGAAGTAGGGCCCCCCCTTCATGCTCTCAATTAACTTTATCTGAAAAAATATTCCTCATTCATGGCTACTAAAATAGTAAATTATGGGAGTAAATCAAGAGCTCAGAAAGGTATTTCTCTTTTCTCTCAATGCAATCACAATCTATAATGCTGTATTTATTTATAACTAGCACGTTCCTTTTACATTTAGAAATATTTAAATAAATTTTAAAAATTAAATTAAAAATATTTTATTATTTAAAATGTTTGCACTGCTCTGTGTGAGGCTGACAGAATCACCCACTATTAAGGCCCCTTACAAAACCTTCATTTCAGTTGCTTATACCTTTGGGAAATTACACCTTTTCCTAGGTGGCAGTCCAAGCCTGACAATTCTTATCATGACCCTCGTTATTCTATTATTTTTATCGAGCCAAAATGGTCAAATGAATTCGAAGAAAAAGCATTTGGAGGAAATGGAGAGGTCCATTCTGAAACATGAAGTGCAATATAATACTCAGTTCTTTGCAAAAACCGATTCTGTGTAGTCTAACCGTCTTGACTCTCTGTGCCTCAACTCTCCTCTCTAAAATAGGATAATGCCACCTTTTCATCTCACATGAATTCTGTAAAATTATAGTCTGTATGGCGCATGGATACTAGTGTGATGAGTTAGAAAGACCAAGAGGAAATTAAATAGTCCTGTCTCCAGATCAGAGTTTGAACTGAGAGCAAACGGTGCTATACCTGCTCCATTAATTGGGCTCTGAAACCTAGAGAGAAAACAAAACAAAATACTATGTGATCCTGTGATACCGACTTTATCATATTGCATAAAGCGGCGGGGGGAAGGGGAATTAAGGTTACCCAGGTAGCTTTAATATTAATGTTGCCTAACTTTGAGCATGTGACTTAGCATCCCTAATAATATTATTTTAACATAATTTTTAATGTGTAATTACTTACACAGCTCCAGACAGTAGGTGTGCATGATGCTTTATAGGCATATAAAATTGACTGATCCTTGCCCCAAGGAGCTTGTGTGATGACACTACACAAGGGATGGGAAAGGAGGGGGTATGGGAGAACAGGAGTTGCAACAGTGTGAGATCATGAGATGTGTTTACTGCTATGTAAGCAACATTTCAGCTTCTCTGTGGTTTTGTTGTTACTCATTTAACACTATATATTAAAATTTGTTGAATAGATACATAACACAAAGAAATCAGCGGTAAGGAAGGATATGAAGAAAGAGAACGATGTTGAACAGCGTTCAGTCAGCAGTTGGTATGAAAACATTCACAGTCAAATGTTGCACGTAGACAATTATTCATGTGGTGGTAGCCCTTCGCACCTCCAGTTGCGATCAGGCTTCTGCCCTACCAGGCACTACACAAACATACCATGAGATACGATAGTCGTGTGCAGACTTTTACTGTGAAGACAATAAGCGGTGGCCGCAGGAGATATCAGAGGTAGAGGGGGAGAGAGGTAGCGTAATAGGTTAGAGGCATAGCCAAGGGTAGACCTAAAGTCTTCTGACATTTGAGTTGATGCTCTACATGCTACCTATCTAATATGTACATTTGGATTATGATTACTTAAAAAAAAAATCCCAAAACAAAACAAAGAGTGCGCCTGCAAGTTGCCTCCATGTACTGGAAAATAAGACCACGGAGGAAGCCGTGGTTGGAAGCCCCTGGAATTGGGGGGCCTTATCTAAATCTCTGTTCTGGTTTTGTGCTCTGGGAGATTTGAACTCTGTTGTTACTGTCTTTTCTGGGTGTGCGAAGCCAGTGGTACAGGCAATTTCTCACGCCCTGAACAGCAATAACTGTCTCCTAATTCCTGCCTAAAAACTCTCCTTTTTAATTATGAAGACATGAGATAAACACAGAATATTTAGAACGATAAAATCACAGAAAAAAATTAGTTTGGAAATTACCCCTCAAGGCCATCTAGGCCTTGGTTGGACCTTGGAGGTCCAACCTCCTGCTGCAAGCTGGGCTAGTCTCAAAGTTAACTGGGACTGTCCAAGGCTTTGTCTAGTTGAGTTCTGAAAATCTCCAAACATGGAGATTCCTCAACTTCTCTGGCAGTTCCCTTGTGTGATAGCTCCGCTCTTGCAACCCAGGAATACCACATTATCCTTCTTCACTGTGCTCACGCTTTGTCACTGTAAGGGTGCACAGCCAACTCACAGCTGGACACTCGTCGTGACGGACTCAGTGGGCAACCTGTTGTCCACTAGGAGCCCCAGCTCTGGTTTTGGGCAGCTGCTCCCAGTCAACCACTTCCTAGGCTATCCCATTGCATAGGATTATTCTGCTCCAGATGCAGGACTTTGCATTTGTCTTTGCTGAATCTTGTGAGGTTTCTGTTAGTCCATTCCTCCAGCTTGGCAAGATCCCTCTGAATAGCCATCCTACTCACCAGCCTGTGAAGCATTCCCCCAAGCGTCATGTGCCAAGTTGGTAAGAGCACATTTTGTCTCATTGTCCCTTTGTCTCTTCTGTGCATGCTCTCGTATTAAAAATTTTGTATGCTTGCGTAGCAAAGGTAAATTTCAACACAATCTAAAGAATATCTGTCTTTCACTGATGCGAAATATGTGGAAAACACCGACTTTCAAGAGCTGGCGTGTCGCTTAAGTTTTAATGGCCTCCTTTATTGCGCTGAAATACAGAAAAAGTCCAAAATATTTTCCATTGATTGGGATTGTTCTCATAGGGTGTTGCTCTGATGCCTTTATTGAACATTATGGTAACTTTTATTATTTTTCCTGGATATGCACATGTTTTTTCCAGTTTGGATCCTGCAGTTTTGAGGAAAGTTGGGATTGCTTAATTGTCTTACAAGGCCTGATCTATGTCTATTGAAATTAATAGGTTGCTTTTTTTGGATCAGGTCTGGAATGTTAATTGTAGCTACTATATTAGTCTAGCCTATATAATCCTCCATACAGACACTGCACAAGGATCCAAGAAATTGTAAAAGGCCAAACCACAGGGAAGAATGCATTGTTAAGCAAGTATCCAAATGAGACTTGACCTTGTCCCTGTTGACACTGATGGGAAAAGAAAAGCCCTGAGATCATTCCAATAGGTTAAATACTGACTTTGGCCTAACTTTATCCCCCACTACATGATCCAAAATGAAGTGCTCCTTCAGAAATCTGTGGAAGGAAATAACTAGGTCATGATGCATGCTCTTATGAAGGGGCTACAGATTAGCAGCTGAATGGAGAGACCAGAAAGCACACACTTTGTGTCAACTGAGAATTCAGAGGAATTTCTGGCCACTGTCCCATGACTCTGCAGCGTCACACAGAGTAGATCCCTGTCAGTACCACCAGGCCACCCTCCTCGCTGGAGGCACAGCTTCCTATTTGGCCAGTTTGTATTTGCAAAGTCCTATAAATTTTGGGTTCCCTTTGCAGCCCTGCCACCAACTATGTGAGTTTTGGCAAACAAACAGTGTCAGAGTCACTTGTGCTTGCAGTCAGCTTCAAGTTAAATTTAGGTTCTTGTATTTTCTTGCAAAAACTTCAGGAAAACGTTTATTTATGAAAAAAAAAGCGAGGGGAGTATGCTGAAAAGAAAACCATAGGTATAACAGCAGTGGAGGCTATCATCAGTTGAACATATAGGCACACACACACACGCACAAATCAAATCCTAAATTTCACGGGATACAATCCTTTTCTACCTAGCTTTGAAGTGGCTTGATTCTCTCCATCCAAATCTGACCTACATGTAATTTTTCTAGATCAACATACAGTAAAGTTTTACGCATCTCATATGCTATAGTACTACAGAATAAACCAAGCTCTAGCAAAACTATTTCAGATTTCTTGGAGAAATTAACTCGAGGGCAGTGGCCTCGTGCAAGAAATGTAACTACAAGTTCAAACAGAAAAGTGACCTTTGCTTGTTGCTACAAGTATGTCACTGGAGGGGATTTGGCACTGAGTTTTTTTCATGGGGAGGAGCAACTAACTTGGTATTGGTACTGGTTTATGAAAGGGTAGAAGAAAGTATTAAGTTGATTTTGTTAAATGTTTCTCCCTACAAGGGGGACACGCAAGATATTCTCAAGGAGCTGGTTGCAAATGAATTTTTACCTCTCCGGAGCACTGTGGGTTCCCACGTTCTCATGGTAGGCGTTCTTGACAGGGCACGTGTCTCTGCCATACGTCGTGTCTGCCTCAGCGGAGTCCATGAAGCCATTGACCCACTTGTCTCTCAACTTCATACTGTCATTTTGCGAATCTAAAGATACAATATCTGATGGGGAGCTCACGACACCTGAGTCTTCGGTGGTGTCCTCAGATGCAAAACAGCTGCTTTCGGATGCTGTTTCTTCTACCTCTGATAGCTCCAGAACCACATCATCCACTACATAAACATTATCATGTGCGGGAGGCAGGCTCTCTGAATGAAACACAGTAAAGAAAAAAAAGGTTAGCTGAAAGTCATTAGTAAATATATCAAACCACCGAGAGTGAGATTCTGAACCCATTGAACTCAATGGGTGTTTTGCCATTGATTTCATTGGTTCCAGATCATCTCCACAACACAGATTCCTTTGTAATTGGAGAAAGACACATTAATTCCATTAGAAATACTAGGATGGAGCTCAGTATTTGTACACATGAAAAAGATGATTTGCAAAATGATAAAATTTTGTCCTTTGCTTTTACAAAGGTGGCTTACCTTGCCCATCCTGTGAAATTTGGGGTTTATAACATTCATATCAAGTCTGTTTCCTTTCAGCTCTGAAGAAGCAACTCTCCAAGGACAGCTTCTTGGAGAACTAAAGAAATGGGAGCTTTCAGCTCCTTCAAATGAAAGGGCAGGAAGGTAAATTTAACTGAGCTGGTAGGAATGAGACAGAAAAAACTAACAACAAAAAAAAAAGATGGAAACAAAATTAAACTTCAACTATAAACCAAAGTTTAAATGATGTGCTACAAAAAAATTCACTCCTGTTACCACTTCTGATGACATAACCTTGTTACTCCTCTTACACGCTGGCAAATAAGTCATGACATTTCCGATAAGAAGTCTATAGAGAGGTAAAAACATGCAGCATTTCCCAGTTAGGACGCTGACTTGGTAAATTAGACCTACTGCTGGCCCACTGGGCAAAACGCTCTATTTCACCATTCTTCAATTTCCTATGCGTTAAGTGGGGAGAGTAATAAACATCTCCTTTGCAAAGCATACAAAATCAAAAAGCGTTATAGAAAATTAGACACTATTGTGCTTAAAACAAAGCAGAACCTTTTCCATCTTTTAGTCGTTTATAAGGAAGGAGATGAAGGGATATGACCTTTGCACGTTTAACTTTGTTAATGTTGCAAGTGATGAGACATTAGACACAGTAAAATTTTTTCATGTTCTGTTTTAATTTGGTGCCTATGAACTAATTGGTTTTTTTTTTTTGTGAAAATACAATTTTGTTATTTCCCTTAGCAAATGTACAGTTCTGGACTCCATTCCGCAATTATGCCATTAAAGGGGAACTCCCAACAGTGTCAACAATTTCAGAGGGATGGAAGACAGAATCCAGCCCAAACATATTTCTTTTGATCAAAAAGAATCAATAAAGACCAATGTGAATGTTTAATTTGGAATTATGAGTGTACTCCGTTCTCTTCTTCAACCTCAATAAACAAAAGGAAGATTAAATAATATACATTATGGCCTGATCCTACAAACACTTGTGGTGGACGTTTTAATTATAGGAGAAGTCTCAAGTCTCTAAGCATGACTATGTTTAAGCATATACTTAACCATTTGTAGGGTCAGAATGTGTAAGTTTTCGAATTATATGGGAATCGACAGGCCAGTAGAAACGATAGGGAGAAAAAAAAATCTGTATTATTGTGCATATACAGAAGTATTTTCTTTAAGTCAGAGGAAAAAAATGTATCATAAAAATTATTTTTTAGAGATGTACTTTAGCAGTGAAGCTTTGAGTAAAGTTAAAATAAAAATCAAATCAACCTTCTCCTTGACTGAGGTTACAAGATGCCATTAAGTATTGAAATTGATTTCTGACAGCAGAAGCAATAAAATTCATAGGGTTACAAATCATGATTAAAGTTGCAAGTGCTGTCAAGCATCAATATTAACGACGGAAGATGATACAAAGACTCCATTGTGACTTTGGAAGGAATGTTACTTGATTTCTTTGACCTTATTTTCTATGACATCAGCTCTAGGTTCCAGATTTAATCCAAGAGATCGTTCCATTTAAAAATGTCAATTAAAAGAATGAGTACATGTTATTGAATGTATTATGGTATGCTCACGACAGAACAACAGTTAGGAAAACACCAACATCAAGGAAAAATAGGAATTATTTGACACTAATCACCAAGTAATACACAGCCCCCAAAACAAACAGTCAGTGTACAGTGCTTGGTTTTCAATGAAACAAACAACAAAAAACCCCAACAACAACCCACCACCAAAACGTTAGTAAAAGCGATAATATGTTAAAAACAGAACAAAAGTGAGATATGGCACAGCAAAGAAAGCAATTTAGATAGATAGCAGGAGCACTTGGAAAGTTTTGAAGTAATGCACAATGCAGTATACCTTGATGCAAAGAGACCCCTGTATAACAAAGGCCACATCTGTTGTCCCCAAGATGCCATAAATGAGCAAAGCTGGGGCAGTAATCTGTAACAAATTACCTAATTCCCGTCTCTGACACAATGAAGGTAGATTTTTCCTCCCGAGCCTTCGCTCTCATCTCCTGATCCTCTTCTCTCCTGCCTGCAAGTATTTTCTAATATAGAAGAACTTGCATCTTCCCATTCAGGAATTTAGTCCTTTTCGGTGACACTACCCTACTAGCCTACTGCAGTAACAAAACTTGCATCTCTTACTGATTTTAGCCAGCAAGGTCAACTGTGGGACTCCTGCCCACCCCTTCTTCCCGTATAACAACAGACAAAATGAAAAGCAATGTGAGAACTGATCCATTAGCTCTGGATCTCTCTAGCTGCATCATTCAATCCAGTGGCAGATCTTCCTTATTCAATGTCTTAAAGTGTAATTGAATTCTGAAGCATGGCAATATAGAAAGGCATCTTCCCAGCCAACAATTCAACTCCTTCTGGCCACACAAAATCAAAATATCTCCCTCTATCAGTTTGTCAAAGCAGTCTGCTACACACTTTGTGAGAGTGGTACAGTGCGTTAGTAGATTTCCACTGCTACTCACCTGAACATGAGAGCACACACATAAACCACGAGCACTAAAGTTGTATGTCATGTCAACAACCCTGTTTCAGCTAAAAGAAGCAAGAAAATACCATTGTTTTAAAATGGAGACATCCTTAGATAGATTGAGAAAGACTCTTATTCTTCCTCCTATACTCTTTGTTAAGTTTCCACCAGTGCAAACCGAAGCCGATGGGTTGCATGAGCACACAGAAGATTTCAAATATGGTCTCTGTTCTTCAAGACATTACACAGCCAAAAAATATCCATGTAAGACACAGAATACTAAACAAGTAATGCAGAATTGGACACACAAATAATGATTGCCACAGATACCTTAATGCATTGCTGAAACAGTGCTGTACCTCAGAAGACTGTCTCTATTTCTAAACAGGTAACAATACCAAGCTCTTCTTTCAGTAACATGTAACCAAGTCCACTGGCTTCAGGTGGGGTGCTACGCTGCAAGGGGAGTAGAATTTGGCTTGTAGTCTCCGAGTCATACTCAGATTTCTGTGTGACATCTCATCCCTAATTGGGATGAGACAGTGCCCACCAGCGTCCTGCATTCCCGCTTACCTACCTCATACACCTGGTTGCAAAATCTGCAAAGCCCAAATTAGTTGTGTACCCCAGATCCCCCTTGCTTAGCAGGAAAAGCACTGCCGTTGCACAATTAGGTCAACTACGAATTACAAAGGCTTTCTTCTGGGGGGCGGAGGGGGTTGTTTTTATAAATGCTGTCTGTGATCATCAAGAGGGAAAGAGGAGAACAGCTCATCAGTAAAGAATGCGACCTTCTTGTTTAACACAAAAGGGATCTTGTAGCTTTAATCTCAATAGACTGTAAGTAATTAAGACACCACTGAACTCCACGCCGAGAAGAATCATATCTGCATTCATACAGTTCAATATTGCATATATGTACACATTACTCGCAGAGAATACCAATGATGGGTAGAGAGATAAACCTCACCTGGTTTAAATGCTATTCAACGCTTTCAGAAATGAAGGTTAAATTCAGTATGTGAAGACTATTGCAGGTAAAATCCTCACTTTAATTACTATGAAAATAACCACCACTGACTTTGAATGAGATCAAAATCAGGCCTAACGTGTTCAAAAGATACATATCCTACCCAGACTCAGGAAATCTGAATTGAAGTCCACGTTATTAAAGCCCAAGCCAACACTCAGTCCAATGGGCACAAGGCATAATTCTTTACTTTCCAAATTTTGACTCTCAGTGCTAAGTTCTGTGACCCTGTATTTTTACAGCTCTGCTAGTGGTCTGCTGCCACATTCAATAATGACAGAAATAGCAAATCCAAATGCATTTTTAAAAGAGGTAATAGCTGATTTAACTCCTGCCTAGTGAATAACTGGGACTCTGTAATGGTTCTAGAGATAGAGAGTTCCTGTAATCCCTGTCAGCTCTTGCTCAAGAGGTTAGCAACTATTTTCAGATTTCTTTCATCACCTGTTTCACTTTTTTTTCCATAGAGTAAAACTGTTTTGCTGTAGTTCAAATGGTCTATTACAACAACATTCTAAAAAATATTAAAAATGTCCTGATGTTAAACAAAATTAATTCTTAAGACCTCTTAAGACCTCTTATGTTACAACATAATTATTTTGCTGACAGTACTTAAAACTTCTAGTAAGAGAAAGAAATATTGCTCTAGCTTTTTGCATCTGCAGTAAAAGTTGGACCATGGCAAAAGACTAGTATTAAAAGAAGTGTAAATTTTTTCCACACTCTTGGAAAAAGCCTGCAGGAAGAAATGGGAAAAGAAAACATTTATTATGGCAATAATTTAACAAGTTTTCACACAGGTACAATGTGTTCTGGATACATTTTACTCATTTTGCTCATCCAATCAAAAACTTGTAGCAATAGATAAGAATTCAAAAGCATTCAGTAAACATTTAAAGCACAAGACTGACTTCTTTCTTCTCATGGCAATTGAAGCTGTTTTAATCCACTATGTTTCTTAGCATGCCTGAGCCTACATACAGACTTTCGAAAGAAAATTGAAAGAAACGACTGAAGGAAAAAAAGGGAAAAGAAATGGTGACCACTATACATTAATGATAAGGGTGGGGCGGGGGGAACAGATCAAGCTCAGATATTGTTTCTCTCTCAATTCCTGTGACTGTGTTGCAGAAACCGGAAGTTTCCAGGAAAAGCTGAG